GGCTTCCGTGCAGCTCACAGTACTGAGACCGCACTGCTGAGAGTCACCAATGATGTCCTCATGGCTGCTGACACTGGTTCTCCCTCCCTCCTTGTTCTTCTTGACCTCACTGCAGCTTTCGACACTGTGGACCATAGTATCCTCCTCCACCGTCTTCATGTGGAGGTCGGTCTCTGTGACACTGTCCTGGACTGGTTTAAATCTTTCCTCTCCAATAGGCTGGAATGTGTTAGTCTTGGCAATGCCAAGTCCCAGACTGTCTGTGTCTCCTGTGGTGTCCCTCAAGGGTCAGTTCTAGGGCCCCTGCTATTTTCCCTTTTCATGCTGCCTTTAGGTCAAATTATTAATCAGTACAACATTTCTTTTCACTGTTATGCCGACGATACACAGCTTTACATCAGGACTGGAGCATCATCTTCACCATTGTCATCTCCATCTTCACTCGCTGCCCTCTCTACCTGCCTGGAGGAGATAAGGGCATGGATGAATCAGAACTTTCTTCAGTTAAACTGCTCCAAAACAGAGGCCATACTGATTGGCACCCCTCACCAGGTTCAAACCTCAACCAACGACTATTTCCTTTTCTGGACAAGACATCCCCCTCTCCACCTCTGTTACAAATCTTGGAATAAAAATGGACTCTCATCTTACATTTGAAAATCACATTAAGCATCTGTTTAAAACCTGTTTCTTCCATCTCCGAAATATCTCCAAACTTCTCCCATCTCTAACTTTTGCTGATGCAGAGAAACTCGTTCATGCCTTTGTCTCCTCCAGGCTCGACTACTGCAACTCCCTGTTTACTGGAATACCCGGCAAAAACCTTCAGAAGCTTCAATATATTCAAAACAGTGCAGCCAGGATTTTATTGAGAGCTCGTAAATTTGAACATATTACACCCATTCTCCATTGGCTTCCTGTCACCTACAGAATTCAGTACAGAATTGCTCTCATTTGCCATCAATGTTTAAACGGAACTTCACCAGATTATCTGAAGGACCTTCTTGCTCCATATTCATCCACCCGGTCCCTATGACCACAGAACAGTAATCTCCTCCACCTTCCACGAACTAAATTAAGGACCATGGGAGATCGGGGATTCTGTGTGGCTGTGATTTTAGTTGATTTTATCTTTGATTTTAATTGATTTTATCTTTGATTTTAGTTGATTTTATCTTTATTTTAGTTGATTTTATCTTTATTTTAGTTGATTTTCTCATTGATTTTAGTTGCACTCTGTAGCACTTTGAGATTTTTGTTAATGAAAAGTGCGTTACAAATTAAATTCATTATTACTATTATTATTATTATTATTATATAGGTCCAGACCTTCCCATGGGCTCACCACCTGTGGGAGGGGCCAAAGGGGTCGGGTGCAATGTGGGATGGGTGGTGGCCGAGGGCGGGGACCCTGGCGGTCTGATCCTTGGCTACAGAAGCTGGCTATTGGGATGTGGAATGTCACCTCACTGGTGGGGAAGGAGCCTGGGCTGGTGTGTGAGGTTGAGAGGTTCCAGCTAGAAATAGTCAGACTCACCTCTACGCATGGCTCTGGCTCTGGAACCAGTTTCCTTGAGAGGGGCTGGACACTCTTCCACTCTGGAGTTGCCCCTGGTGAGAGGCGCCGAGCAGGAGTGGGCATACTTATTGCCCCCCAACTTGGTGCCTGTGTGTTGGGGTTCACCCCAGTGAACGAGAGGGTGGCCTCCCTCCGCCTACGTGTGGGGGGACGGGTTCTGACTGTCGTTTGTGCTTATGCACCAAACGGCAGTTCAGATTATCCGCCCTTTCTGGAGTCCTTGGAGGGGGTACTGGAAAGTGCACCTCCTGGGGACTCCCTTGTTCTGCTGGGGGACTTCAATGCTCATGTGGGCAATGACAGTGAGAACTGGAGGGGTGTGGTTGGGAGGAACGGACCCCTGATCTGAACCAGAGTGGTGTTCTGCTGTTGGACTTCTGTGCTCGTCATGGATTGTCAATAACGAACACATTGTTCAAGCATAAGGGTGTCCATATGTGCTCTTGGCACCAGGACACCCTAGGCCGCAGTTCGATGATCAACTTTGTCATCGTCTCATCTGATCTGCGGCCACATGTCTTGGACACTCATGTGAAGAGAGGGGCGGAGCTGTCCACTGATCACTACCTGGTGGTGAGTTGGCGCCGATGGTGGGGGAGGATGCCGGTCAGACCTGGCAGACCCAAATGTATTGTGAGTGTTTGTTGGGAACGTCTGGCAGAGTCTCCTCTGAGACGGAGTTTTAACTCCAACCTCCGGGAGAACTTCGAACATGTTCCGGGGGAGGTGGGGGACATTGAGTCTGAGTGGACCATGTTTCGTGCCTCTATTGTCGAGGCGGCTTACCGGAGCTGCGGCCACAAGGTTGTCGGTGCCTGTCGCGGCGGCAACCCTCGAACCCGATGGTGGACACCGTTGGTGAGGGATGCTGTCAGGCTGAAGAAGGAGTCCTATCGGGCCTTTTTTTCATTCATTCATTCAACCTTTATTTAAACAGATAAATCACATTGAGCCTCGAAGACTCATTTACAAGTGAGACCTGTTTAGACAGACAAAAACAGTGGTTAACTAGACACATGTAGGAGTTGGAGGCGAAAAAAAATCCTATCAGACTTTTTTCTTGGCTGAGAAAAACCCCTAATATTGAAAAAACACCTCGCACAAACAAGCACATATTTACGTAAACATTCTGCAGAGAAGGAAGGGACGAGACCGGTCAACAACGTCTACAGATGCTCTCGAGGTCACTGTAATCAGTCAATGTTCTCCGGTGAGATCCATAAACATTCTCGAGGTATGTCGAGGAATGGCCAAGAATAACCTCTGAGAATCCAGAGTCCTGAAATGATGGCGGAAAGTTTTTTCA